CACTGGTATAATTACTTATTTCATCACTTGTGACACCACTCTAACGATTTAATTTGTGATACCGATTAGGTAGCACTATGACGTATACTTCTTGTTGACAGTCAGAGAAAGATGAAGAAGACGACGAAGACCACACAATACTTCTTGGTGCTTCATTTATACCCCACAGAATGACACTTATTTTAGTATTGACAACAACCTCAAGGAATGACTTCCTTTAGTGTTGCCAACATATAAATGCATACTTTTTGCAAATTTTCTCTTCTACTGATATATTTTCATTTTTAAGCTATCGTATTCTTATTTATTCGTATTCGTATTCCTTGTTACATGTCCATTCGGACATCTAAGTTACCTACAATTATAAAATTTGTACATAATAGAGACACTTGAACTTTGTTCATCATATATTATGTTTATAATTGAATCCCCTTTCTCCGATTTGCGCCGTGTAATCTCAAATAATTCAGCGATCTGTTAAGCGTGAGGCCTCACTTAAAGATCGATCCGAATCACCCGCGTAATCCGGCGCTAACAACATTTCAAGCTCGCCTTGGCATATCTGCTCGGTAAATAAGCCGTAGATTAATTCTACGGGAATCCAATGCCCGTCTATTTTGTATGATGCCGTATATTGTAAGTAACGAGTTAATACTATCGTTTATACGGCGATGGGGTAGACTAGACACATACACGCATACACGCACGCACACACTCATGCGACCTGCCCATTCGTGCAACAGTGAACACTGTTGCGTGGCTCTACCATAGTTAGCGTTGCGTTGCGTTAACGTTATGATTGTGAGGGGAGTACTTTAAAAGGAAACAACCCGTCAACACAAATTACAAGAATTTGATATTTTTTTTTTATTAAAAAAAATATGGTCGTGGGTGTATAGCCCGCCTTATTTCCGCCAAGAATTTAAATCTGCATATGCTAATATGACAGTGATTACCTCTTTCATGTAAAATCGAACTAATTGGTGACTATCCAATTATGAATGATACCGTGCTTACGATAAAAGGGGGTAAATAGCACAGCGCCCAACACGGGCGTCGTATTTAGCGGAAGACACCTATGCCTACCGTCGAGTTTCACTATGGGACGGGAGAGCTGCGCGCGTGTACAATATTGTGTGGGTTTTTCCAGTGCCAGGGTGTGTTTATATATTTACTAGCTGACCCGGCAAACGTTGTTTTGCCGTATAAATTATTTTTAGGGTAAAAAAAAATGTTTGGGGTGGACCACCCTTAACATTTAGGGGTATGAAAAATAGATGTTTTCCGATTCTCCATCCTGGCCGATATGAATTTCACGAAAATCGGTCGAGCCGTTTCGGAGGAGTTCAATTACAAACACCGCGACACGAGAATTTTATATATTAGATATGTATGCATTTAAAAAACAAAAGTATGTTGTAATGTTTATCAGTTATCTTGAACCCATAGTACAAGCGTTGCTTAGTTTAGGACTAGAAAACGTGTTAAAATCTGTCCTGAAATATTTATTTTTTTATTAATCTTTAAACCTGAATTCTTAAATTGCGTATGCAACCAAATATACTAGCTAGTTATATAATATCTACGTAAGTTATTCCAAAAGATTTTAATACACGGTTAAAGTTAAGGGCCCAGCTTGGCGCCAAACGTTGTTCAGATATTCATGGGTGCAGATCAGCATCATGTAAAATTTATGCCCGTATTTACCACAAATGTAAAGGCCTCTCAGCTAAGCTTCTTTTTTATTTGTGGCGATTTAGAATGCTCTTATCAAAACGAATCTTTTTTCTTGCATTCTTTCAGGCTTTATTTATGTGAAAAAGAGGTGAACGGGCTGGCGGTTCAGCTGATGTTCAAATCAAATCAAATATCTTTATTCAACATAGGATAATTACATTCGCTTATTTATAGTCAAAATACTACCATAGTTCACTACTACTGGTACTATCATAGTACGTTTGCAACACCCTAAGGGTTGCAAATTCGTTGGCAGCTTTTAATAAAGTCGGCACCAGCTACCTCACTTAACAGAAGAAATACAAAAGTTTAATACTTCTACTTCACACCGTTCTTTTGTTAGGTCATGGTTATTAGACAGGTGCTACAGCAGCAAATCTTGTACTATGGGTGCTAGATAACTGATAAACATACTTACATACTTTTCTTTTGTAAATAAATACATATTATAGATATATAAACACCCAGACAACAGAAAAACGCTATATTCATCACAATATTTTGCCAGTAGTGGGGATCGAACCCACACCCTCTGGCGCAGAAGGCAGGTACACTACCCACTACGCCATTCGGATCGTCAAGTCAAGTCGAATTCTAAGCTCTTATTGAACGTCAAGAAACTGCAGTCGGCAAGAAACTGCAGTCGTATTATCTTATACTTTTTTTAAATTACATAAGTTTACAAGATTATTTACGTATAAAATCTGCAGGAGCCACGGGACTTGCAAGTGCAGAGCTAGAGTCAGCCTTCAATGTACATGTTTTAGTTCCGTTAATTAAGTATTTACTTCGTTAAATTTTAGGCTACAAATATTGACAATACCAGAGTAAAACAACCTTTAAGACGGCCTACCACAATAACTACATCCTTTATCTCCAGACAAAGTGCTTCTCTAATGTATGTAGTTTTCGATGTGGAGACCAGCCCCTAATGCATAGATATGTTTTTGCACAAATCGCAAGTTGTGGTGCTGTATCGAGGTAAAAATACTATAATATATATAATTGCAACCTAGCTTTGAATATTAAACTAGCTAGTCCGTAATGAAAATGTAAGAGATGTCCGTAAAATTATTATTACAAGGTAAAGAAATGAAAAATACAACATAAGTGTATTTATTTAATTTATATTAAAATTGTTACACATATTTTAATGTTCCTTTTTATCCGACGTAGAAAAGGTAGAAAAAAACTAGTTATGATACAAAATAACTCCTTACTCAGTGCGAGCATAATTAATTTATTGGGTGCCGTCATTTATTTAATGCCAATTTTGTCCTTGTTTGTTTCTGAAAGGAAAATGAGAATTCACACATTAGTTTATGTGGAGTAAAATATTACGTATGAATTAATGCGATATTGAATTGATACGTTTTGTATAGTAGCGAAAGCGTATAGAAACAAAATCCGATTGTTATGCACTAACAACGATTCTAGACCTTTTGTAAAGTATGGACAACATTTTTGGTAGATATTATCTTAATAATTTAAAAATAACAAAAAATCAGAGACAAAATTTTGTGGTATTCACTTCATTCTACCTTTCACTCGTTTGACCTTAATAAGATTTAGATGTGCTCATTCGATTTACCATTTCCGAGCGTGCAAACGAGCTGGCGGTACAACTGATTTTAAGTGATTGACATTTGCAACATCCCTAAGGTTGCAGATGCGTTGCCACTAATACACTGGGTCCCGGCTACAGACGCCAGAGGAAACACACAAAAATAACACTACCACTTTTGACCTTCTGTGAGTTCGTGGTACTTATCCGGACGGACCTGCCCATTCGTGGCACGGCGAAGACTGTTGCTTGGTCCTACCACCGTAATGTATTAATGAAATATAGCGAAATAATTAACCGTAGAGTGAAACTAACAAATTATCTCACAAAATTAATGGAAATGCTGCTACTTTCGCGTTGCGTTAGTGTTTACATACCGGAATCCATTTCTTCGGGGTCATTCCACGGCTGTGTGTTCGATGTCGTAAAAAGAACGAAGATTAAATTTGTACAGAAATATATGGCAGACGCCAAGAAAAACACTTTCCGCCATTCGTTTGGATCAGACTAAAATAGAAGAACAGTATTAAACGAGTTTGAAGTGTCTTATGAAAAGTTACAAGCTGAGGCAGTTAATTCAAATTGCATATTTTCTAATATCAAAATTATTTGCGTATATTTCTGAAATGAAATTAAAACTACTTGGAATAGAAAATATAAATTTGAACAATAAATAAAAGCATTTATTGGAATCAGTAAATTAAAAAAAAATCGTAACAATGTTTACTTATTTTCCAATGAAACTTAAGAAATATAATATGTTGCTATGATCACTATTTGAAGAAAAGGAGAATACATACCTCGTCCTGAATAATTATACCGCAAACCAGTGGTGCTATAAGAGATACGATGTTAGCGAAGAAGTTTGAGATGGCCATCAGCCATGAGCTGAAGTTTGGCGCTAAGTCGACTAGGATCAGCTGCAATGTAAAAAAGTACTCGATATAACTCCGTCTCTATACTTTAAAAGTAAAGTAACAGCCTATACATGTCCCACTGCTGAGCAAAGGCCTCCTCTATATAGAGGGTATCAGGGCATAGTCCACCACGCGGCCCCACTGCGGATTGGCGGACTTATCTCTCTCTCTCTATACTTTAATTGCAATAAATTCAATTCTCAGTGCACAAACTATTCAATTCAAGTGGACTATAATGTATTGTATACATATTTCATTGTCAAGTAATGATATAAAAAAATGAGGATCCGCTGAGTTTCTTTCGCTGGTTCGTCTCAGGTCAGTAGCTTTTCTGTTTCCTGCAGATAGTAGTATTTTATAATCACTAAGTGAGCGTAATGCTTCAAAGATATTTAATTTTCCCTCCAACATAGCACTTAAAACTTTAAAAAAAGAACAGCCAGATATATAAACGGAATTTATTTTAGTGACGCATCCGCCGAGTCCCAGAATCGAATCCCAGACCAAAAATTCGAGGGACTCCTGGGATTATTTACCGTTTTAATCAAAACCACTTCTTTTAGCCCTACAGATTAGCGGCACCCGGCACCGACGGGATCACGACGTTGGCGATAAGGCAACTGCCGAAAAGGGGGTTAGTGGCGCTGTGCCGCCTGTACAATGGTGTACTGCGCACGGCGCACTTCCCCTCTGAGTGGAAAACCGGCAAGACCATCGTCCTGCCGAAACCGGGCAAAGACCGACGACTTCCGGGGAGCTACCGACCGATCACGCTACCGCCGCACGTAGCTAAACTTTTTGAACGGTTGCTGCTGCGGAGAATAGTTCCCTGCATCGAGCTACGCAGGGAACAGTTCGGTTTCCGCAGTGGCCATTCCACCACGGCGCAGCTGGCCCGCCGTGGCTTGCGGCCCAGTACAACCGGGGCCGCATCTGTCTGGGAGTCCTTCTCCATATGGAGAGGCCTTCGACAGAGTGTGGCACGAGGGCCTGCTACATAAGCTGCTGGCTAAAACACCACCACCCACCGTGCACTCGTGCGGTTAGTAGCGTCATTTCTTCAGGACCGGAAGTTCGTCGTACACGTCGAGGGAGCCGACTCGGCGGTACGATGTATCAAAGCCGGTGTACCACAAGGCAGTTGTCTGTCGCCACACCTGTATGCGGTGTACACGGACGACATTCCCACCTTGGAGCAGAACGCCTCCGACTGGGATGAAGACGTACTGTTGTACGCGGACGATAGTGCGTTCTTCACGTCTTCTCACGTCGCGGCGATTGCGGCGAGGAAAATGCAGCGCCAACTGGACCTGTTGCCCCAGTGGCTGGATAAGTGGCGGATGTCTGTCAACTTCGACAAGACGTCCGCCATATATATCCGCCGCATTAAAAACCAACCCACGCTTGAGCTGCGAGGTCAGGCGATTACCAACCAGAACGTCATAAGGTACCTTGGATGCCGGATAGACCGCTCGCTGTGCATGGCTCCCCAGGTCGGACACGCCGTCCGACAAGCCAGGGCAGCTCGAGCCATGCTGTACCCTATCCTGGCATCCAGGTTACCCATCAAGACCAAACTCGACGTCTACAAGACGTACGTCCGTTCGCGCCTGACCTACGCCACTCCGGCGTGGTACGGTCTGGTTTCCGCCTCGCAGAAGCGCAGGCTCCAGGCGCAGCAGAACCTCGCCCTTCGAGTGATCGTGGGGGCCGGGCGCTACGTCAGGAATGACGTAATCGCCCGCGACTTAAGGATGGAGTCCATCAAGGAGTTTGTGGTCCAGCTGGCCCATCGCATGTACGACAGGGCCGACAACGGACCACACCCACATCTCCATAATCTTGCACCCCTCCACGCCCGTCCTCCTGACGGGCGCCCGCTCCCACGAGAGCTACTGCGGTCGGAGGCCACTGGGGAGCCGGACCCGACCGCACTTCCGCCGTTGAGAAGACGATGTCGTCCACGCGTTACACACCGCGTGTAACGCTGTACACCCGCCAGTGCCGCTACTGCGGTCAGAGAAAGGGATGGCCGTTGGCCATCCTCACCACCGACCAGCCTTTGCTGATCGAGACTACGCTCGAGTAATGGGGACATGGCCCCGAAACTTGTTCATGCAGGGCCCTTGGCCAGCTACAATACATCACCATACAGATTAGCGTATTATTATATCTGTTTTATTTTTTTCCTATTCAATGAAGAAATACACATACCAAGTACCCAGTGTAATGGCCGGCGTTGATTGCACCGGTCACCGTCAGCATTACCACTGCCGCTACCATATTCCCTTCTGGTGTATATGACAGCCCGATCAAGGCTAGTGCAGGGCCCCAAAAACCTACAAAACATATCGTTTACATTCAATGTTTGAAAACAGAACATCATTTTGAGGTTGTTATAAAGCACGCCACACGGAATAAATAATTTCGCCTAATAGGTAATTAGAATCATTGATTCAGTGGAGCCGTTGATAAGTTATTGTCTTCGGCGTCGGGGGTCATGGGTTCGATTCCCACACGGAACAAGTATTCGTGTGACCCACAGATAATAAGCGATCCGGATCCGAGTGTTTGTTTCCCAAGAAGGGTTGACGTCAGGTAAAAATATAGCCAAAACCGCTTACGTCATAATTCACATGCTGTACTTGGGTGGGATGAGGTTAGGAAGACGATGTGAGTAGAATTAATTATATCTGTCTACCTCGTGAATTGAAAGACGTGATTTTTTTCTCAAGCACTCTATGTTTAGGAATCGAAGTTTTCATGTCAAGAGTGAAGTGAAAAGTCGTGTAGAAGTTAAACAAGTTATATTTTTGTTCATAAAGATTTACGCAAGAAATTACGCTCTAATCTATAAATAATTTAATATGAAGACAGATTCAATAGGAAGTCTATTAAGTTGCCAAACTGTGGTAGAGCTGTGCCGCGGAAGTACCACCTCCTCACAGAAGACCGGTGTGAAGCATTTCAGACACTTTTGCATTTTTCCTGGTGAGTATGGTAACCAGAGTTCACGTTCTTATTGATTTGCAAAGGCGTTGCAAACCAATAACAAGCTTCTGAAGATATCTTTGTGCAGCAGTGATCACTTAACATCAGATGAATGGGCTGCTAGCTTCCTTAACTTTCAGACAAAAAGAACTGCACAGTAATAGTAATTATATATAGGAGTAGAAGCATGCAAGTGATTTATGTTCAAACCGTTTATTCACGGTTACAGCCCGGCATTTGTTCCACAAAATATCATAAAGCTGTTGTCTTTAAAAACCAGACACTTTTTTTAAAAATAACGACAAATTTATAAATGGCCAGAGACGTTCAAATGATTCAATGTTTTTTCATGTTGTATTTTTTTACTTTATACTCGTACAACGACAAGGTAATGATCATATTATAATCCTAACATAAATTATTTATATTTTGATTATATATTACTTAGACTATATTTGTCTTATAAGTACTTTCAAAAATAAAAAAAAATCATAGCCTTAACAAAGCATGTTGTTGCAAAAGATGTATAAATGCTGTTTATCTCAAGATTGTTTGTAATAGTTATACCTATTGTGTTGGTCAATTTTCTTGTGTTGGTGACGCTGAGCAATTTCCGCCTCACTAGGAAATCGGTCAATGCTCCCACAGGGAAACTTAACGAGTACATCGCCAGGTATGGGAGAGATGAAAGCACACCATTCTGTCAACATATAAACTTATTGAGTTTCTAATTAGTATGTTACAAACATAAGTCCATAGACATGTGTAGATAAATTCTCGCCAAATTTTTCCCCGTTGCTGGGACTCGAACCTGCAATCTCCGAATTACGCGGCCGTACTCTAGCCACTAAACTAAGCGGTCAAAATCCTCACTGCGCGAAAGTCGGCGTCTTATCTTTAATATTTAGGTACATTTGTGGAATATACGAGAAAAATAAATTTATCAGAACTTTGTAAGAACGATGGTACTATTAACTCCATCCGTCTATATAAAAACAGCATCCTATGTGAAACTTGCTCTTTAAAACAATAGTAACGGACTTTTAAATTAACAACTGTTTGTTTGTTTGCTTTATATTCCTCCATGAGATTTATCTTAACTTAGAATTTCATATCACATTGCATTATTAAGATTATTTTCACAAAAATATTGCTTACCTGTTTTAAATTCACATTCAAAACTTTCGCCATGTATGTTGGCATCTCCGTCATCAGGGTGAAGAATCCCCAGTTTTGTCCACAATGGCCCACCACCGCCGCCCAAAATGGGAGGCACGTTATGATCTTCATCAACGGAGTTCTATGTTTCTGTGAGAAGAAATAAAGGTGAATCGTTTCAGTAATAAATTAACTATCCCGCTCTCTTCGTGAGAAGTAAAAGCGGTGACTAGTGTACATTTAACAGAGGCAGGGCCACGCAACAGTTTCGGCTGTTGCACAAATGGGTAGGTCCATCCTGGTAGGTACCAGGGTCAGGTAGCAGGGTCCCCACATTAAAAGGTGGCAATGCATCTGCAATCGCACGGGCGTTGCAAATGTCCACGGGCGGCGGTTATTACTTAACATCAGGAGAACCAACAGCTCGCTTGCCACCTTTTCACATAAAAAAATATATAATATATAAGTGATTTGTGCAGAACAAACTTCTGATAACCGTTGGGGAAGAAAGGTTCTCGAGTGGCAGCCTCGTACTGGCCATCGCAGTGTAGGACGACCCCCCACTAGATGGAGTGACGACCTGTGCAAATGTGCGGGAAGTCGATTGATGCAGGTGGCTCAGGATCGTACTTCATGGCAGTCTATGGGGGAGGCCTATGTTCAGCAGTGGACTCAAACAGGCTGAAATGTTACAGGTGGAAATGAACAAAGATTTTATCTTAACTTGGTCATGATATATTTTGGAATAATTCACTTTACACTTAAAGTACTTTCTTTGTAAATAACAGTCTATTCTGGCTTGTTATTCGTAAGTATTTTCAAAAGTTTGAAGACGGATGAAAAAAAAATTTTTTTACATTATTAGATTTATTGCAAGAATATTTTTTAATTAATTTCTTTGCATATATCTATGGTAAATTGTATTAAATTATTCCGCGACTGATAATTTATTGCTTGGTACCTAAATGATGAGATTGCTAAGCTGAAAAAGTAACCGTAAATTGTATCGAATTAATTCCATGCTCGATGAAATTTATCTTTACGCGCAAATGGCTCCTACGGCGAAAGGTTGCTTATGCAAATTTTAAATCTTACAAATGTATTCCACTTCATCAAAAATCCCCTTTTCCAGTACAAGGATAAGGCTAATAAGGCATCTTTCGGCTTAAGGGGATTGTAATGGCTTATTTTGCCATTCCCCTCCGTGAATAATTCAGGTGGTAGACATTACACTTGCTAATAAGAGCACTCACTTCTTGATACGAGACGTCTTCGCGTATAACTCAACATTACATCAATTAATTCGAGAATTAGGTGTAGCGAACAATTTATGTAGGCTTAATGGACAACAGACTGTTCTCACAGAAGAGTAGATGGTAAAAATAATGTTTCAGAGAAAAGTTATATTTTTTATGTGATAAAGTGGCGAGCTGACGGTTCACTTGATGTCAAGTGATAACCGCCGCTCACGGACATTTGCAACACCCGTAGGGTTGCAGATGCATTGCCACCTTTTAAAAAGTGGGCCCTGGCTACCTCACTCACCAGACGAAACGCAGAAGTGTAACACACCTACTTCGCTCCGGTCTTCTATGAGGTCATAGTAATATCCCAGACGGACCTGCCCATTTCCGGTTTCCTTAGCAAAAGCGAACACTGTTGCTAAGGGAACAACCTTCCTATAATATTGATTGTCATTTTACTTGGGCATCCAAAGTATGATTGTGCATTGCAAAACTTTAAGATCATTGTCTATTTTTTTTATATTATTAGATTGGCCCCGGTTACGCTTCTATCCCCTTAGGCTGGTCTTATTCTTCCTTTTTTTGGTGGGGTTTTACTACCTAATATTTCGGATAAATGACGAAAAAAATCCTTTATTAAACCGGGCCCAGCAAAAGTTCTTACCGTACTAAGTTACATGACATGAATTTTTTTTATTTGACATTATATTTTTTTTGCCTATCGCAAAACCAAAATTTGTTATATCATTGGTGTCAATATATGCTCTCATGCAGATACGAGTATCTCTCAAGGCGAGATTCATATCGATAAGGTCCGATAAATCTGTGACGATAATTCGACGACTGATAATTCTTTCTGGTGGTGTTGTAAATGTTTAGATTGGTCTTTATAAAACATCTATCAAAGAAATTGTCTGAATCATCACCAAACAGTACTATAAAATATATATATATATATATACTAGCGACCCGCCCCGGCTTCGCACGGGTACATTGTATTAAACCTTCCTCTTGAATCACTGGTTCTAGTAAAAAAAACCCATCAAGATACATGGCGTAGTTTTAATGATCTAGATTTACATAGGGACAGATAGAAAGCGGGACGACTTTGTTTTGTACTATGTAGTGATAAGTATTAAAGGGCGCTATTGAATGGGTTTGTCTGGGCTTTTATATTGAAAATTTAGATAATATAATTATACATTTTCGGACATTCCGTTTCATGACAATTATCAAACTAATATGAAAGTAATAAGTAAGCAATAAATACTATTAATCCAAATGGAAATATTACAAATATAATAATTCAAATAGAAATTTATATGATTTTTAAAATAATTTACTTGATAGCCGATATGTTCAGGACACACCTTTTAAATGTAACATTAAAGATCACTATGGGTACTAGATAATTGATAAACATAACCTACTTTCCTTTTGTAAATAAATATATATAATGCGTATATAAATATCCAGACACTGGAAAAACACTATGTTCATCACACAATATTTTTCCAGGTGGAGACCGAACCCTCTGACGCAAGAGGCAGGGTCACTACCCACTACGCAAATCGAGTCGTATAAGCATTCTATAATAATAATAATAAAATATCTTTATTCACATAAGACGCGCAGGCTGCGCGTTCTTATGAAACGTCAAAATTTTACAAAGAAATTAACACGTTCGTAAGTTACCACCGGTTCGGAAAGCAATTTCTGTTGAGGAGAAACCGGCAAGAAACTCAACAGTTGCTCTTTTTTAAAAAATCAGTTTACCATATAATAGTACAGGTACAATAGTCTTGTTTTAGCCTACGTGATTCAATTTACATAATGATGGAATCGTGTCTTTAATATAGTTTCAGAAATGTTTTAGTCAAGTCTTACCTTTCGTTCCCCAACTCGTCCTAAAGATTTCTGGATATACGTTAATTCTTTTTTGATATCCTTTTGGATTGTTCAGGGGATGCAGAACCGAGCATTAAGTAAGCAACCGTCCACAAAGCTCCGAGTAAGCCGTTCACATAAAATATGGCCTTCCAGCCCCACGCTGCTGCTAAAAACCCTGACGCTATAAGTTGTATTGCAATACCAAGCTGGCCTCCTGTAAGACGCAACATGCAAAGAATAAACTATGAAATTTTGAACAGGATAAATACATTATCTTGTACTCTATTATTTAATATAATTGTGCTGTACTTTATGCAATTTTGCACATGATGAAATATTCTTAATATGGAAAATAGACTATCAATAATTTATTTAAATAACAATATGCAATGAAAGACTATCCCTACTGACTGGTGCTGTTATGAGATATCCTTATTGTAAACACTTTAAACACAACAACATTTTACAGCGTTCGTGATCACGGAACATACCTTAAACGCTGTAAAGGGTTCGAAACGTCGGAAATTAAAACTAAAAATAAACGCGATAACAAACAAAATAACGCGTAAACATAGTTTCATTTAGTAATGTGTAATCGCGTAAATACAATAAATTATTATTTCAAAACCAGATGTTTAAATTATATTGCGATCGATCGATCACAGAATCTGCAAGTTTCTTTTTTAAGAATTATACATTTGGTTTGCAATGAAAATGAAGCCATACTGGTATCAGTGAACAATTAGTGTTTGAAGGTAGATACCCAATTTTTACAAGTCAGTTTTACACGAGTAGATCACTGTCTTAGGAGGACTAAACAATTATTAGACCTTTACGCTCTTATTTCCGACTCTACTTGTTTGTTTGTCCGTTTGTAATGCTTACTGGATTTAAGGGAGTTTAAGAGAGGATTTTTAATTTGCACGGGTTAGTGCTTCGGTTCAAGTACAATGTTAGTGTTTTTCAGGCGGGAGTGAACAGACGTTTAGTGAGGCAGTGCAACAGACAAGAAACACCAATGTTCACCATCACTTCAAATAGTTATCTGCACTAGGTAGCGTATAAAAAATTAAACGGAACCATTTATTCAATTTAAACCACCAAACTAAATGATTGGGAACGTTTCTTCTTAGAATGTAGATCAAGTTCTTAGGATAATAAAAGTAAGAAACATAGGAAAATTGTGTAAGAGCATAACGACACTTTTACTTTGAACAAAAATATTAAAATACTTTTCATATTTTTTTCTGTTGTAAAAATAAACTTGCCAGCATATATGAATGTATTCAGGCGTCCTTTTTCCTCCAAAGGTATCCACTGGCTCACAAGATGGTGTGTCGACGGGAAAATGAATGATTGCGTCAACCCTTGGAGCACTCTGCAGGCGCATACGAACTGCCAGCCTCCCTGTAATAGTAAATCATGAGGTCCAAGATCCATAGAGACTTATTTGTACATAATAGGCGACACACTTTTGAATTGGATGCGTTTTCATTCTTTAAGACCTTGCCTTTACTTTAGGATAACATTTACATGTGTTGTAAAAACGTTTTATATACAACATAAATTTAACGTGCACAAACACCCAAATAGGTCACACGAATAGTTGTCTCGTGTGGGAATCGAACCCACAGCCCCTGACGCCTTTGCCATTATGCCATTGAGTCATCACTCTAACTTAAAGAACATCGACTTTTGAAATGTTGTATTTCCCTATTGTAAAATTGGTGCTTCGTTTGGTGTCACTTCCGTCGTTAGGTCTTCTGCACCGTTATTCGATCCATAAACTTCTACACTGCCAAAAGGTTAAGTACCAAAAAGGCTGTGCATTTATTCTGCTATAAGTGAAAGTTTTTTTACTAAACGAACAGAGGATTAATTAAACAGATGTTACTTACAAGGTACGCGCCAGTGGGTAGTAATAGAGATACCAAAGCATTCGCGGCTATCGCGATCGTTAAGAGACGCTTGCCGCCGAATCTCTTGGCTAGCTCGCCAGAAGGCAGCATAAGAACTATGTAACCCCAGAAGAATGAAGACAAAATCATAGATTGAACGTTGTAGCTCCAATCGAAGTGCTGTCGAAGGCAACAGACGTTGTAATAATTTAGGTTAAGAATTTGTTATTATTTTACTAATATTTCCTGATAAAAATTATTCAAATTGACATACTTATTTAAATTAAAGAAATGGGAAGGATATTTACAATTGATGAATCAGTAAATAGATAAATGTTTAATTCTTTTTTGAAATGTTATGTGCTTAAATGTTGGATAATGCGCCCAAACTTTCTAGCCAAGTAAGCTGCTTAGCTTACTTGGTTAGATCGTTTACTCGCTGTATCTCTCGGCATATATTATTACATTATCATAAATTTTAACATTTTTCTATCAATCAATTTATCTTTTAAAGTCCCGTTAGATTAGTATATTCCGTTATATTTCATCCTAAGCGCGGCAAGCACAAAATAAACTCTCTCACTCTATACGAGTTTTATGATTATCGTTGGTATTATTACATCGTAGAAGTTGAAGATTTTGACGTAAGTATTGTGGCAACACATTGTAATTTGATATTGTAGTCGAACGCCCCATGCGCCTTACATTGTGCAGCGCAGTACAGTCCATTGCGAGTAACTAGCAAACGCACGCTGTCATGTGAATATTTTGTACATTTTTAATAAATATTATATATAATAGTAGTGTAGTTTTATCTCATCTCCTCGTCACTATAGGGAGCCCCAACAACCACTAACACTATAGTATTATGGAGATAATGTTGAATACGTATCCCTAGTAACCAAATCTATCTGTAGATAGAATATTGAAACTGAATTAGTGTTACCGTAAGTAAAAGGTACAAAACCTTTTATTGTGCAATATAAATATAATCCAAATAAGAAATCACGTGCAATTTCGATGCATCAATTATTAGTTTAAACCATCGCAAATAAGGTTCAGTAATACGAGTGTTACCTCAAATTAACTGTACTTTCAAAAGAACATTCTCTCGTACACGTAATAGTGATTTTTAGAGGGTCAACGACACAAGATAATCCATTAAAGGAGTTCTGATTAGAGATTCTGATTAAGATTCTGCAGTTCCTGTATATAAAAACTATGATATACTTACGTCTTCTTTGGTAACATCTGTCATATCAACGATTGCCATACTCATATTTACCCTCATGCTGTAAACGAGAATTAGTGCAAAAAACAGTAGAATTGCTTGTGTGTGGCGAACTCCAAACCCGTCTGTAACAAATTCAAATAAATAATAGTAATAACAATAAATAGAACAATATATTTTTTCAATATAGAAGCATTACACTTCATAATCACACTTTTCATAATTTAAATTTATTAAAAATTAATTTCTAGTTTTTATTTTAATTTTTATTTATACTATTATTAATTGCATATTGTAAATGGGCATTGACAAAAAAGCATATTATAAATTATATTTCTGGTTCTTTTTTCTATTATAACTTAATGCAACCTTATTTGTACACAACTATTTATAGACTTTTGAAAAGGCGCTAGAATTCAGTTTTTTATATTTTTGTATGAAAAAAATTGTAATTAATATTGGACATTTTAAGATTACAGAACCACGCATGGTTAAAAAATAAAAAAAAACTGCACTAGATACGGACTGTCATTTTTTTATGTTATAAAGTGATAAGTGAGCTATGGCTTCACCCGATGTTAAGTGATAACCACCACCCATGGACATTTGCAATACTCGTAGGGTTTCAGACACGTCTCCTACTTTTAATAAAGTTACCTCACTAACGAGACGAAACGGAGATGTGTAACACTTTCACTTCTACTTCCACGCCGGTCTTTTGACAGGTCATTTTACTTCCCCAGACGGACCTGCCCATTCGTGCAACAGTACTGTCATTATCATTTAGTATTTCCAATACTCAATGGAACCGTAAATGAAGATTTCCACATCAGCGACTTAAACAATAGCAATTTATTAAAAGCAACATCTATATTTGTTAGTTTTAATATTTTCCCTAGTAGTTAAGTCTCTTTTCTTTTATTTTAAAGCCTGATTGTTCGTGAATTAGCAGAATCGAATGCGTGAGTGTATCACAGAGAACTTCTAGCCTTTCCAAAAGCAAGCTTTTTCGATGAAATTTTTGGATCTATTTTCATTGAACTTACTTGAAAACAGTTACGTCTGAAATCAGAAAAAGGCTGTGATAACTTACTTGGGCGAACATTTTGCGTATCGGCAACGACACCCATTTTCTCTTTCTATTCGCGTGTTTCGTCTGTCCAAATTTTGATCCCACTATCATTGGGACATGGACTGGGATCTTGTTCCCTTGACCATTTGTGTATAACTGAATTGAAAGTTGCGAAAGAAGAATACCACTGGATTTGCGTCATTGCCTATCATCTTACTATCTGATCTTCACAAAACTACTTGTCACCTGTTTATCTCAACAAGATTTACGGGATTTACGAATCCTAAGATGAGTAATGCAGTTTGTTTATAAACTACTGTTTAATGAGACAATTAAAAAGGTAGCAATGACTGGCTGCATAGCATGTCCGCTGTGTGTATAGCATTTATACTAACTCCGATCCAAAAGAGTTCATCCCGTTATACATTGTGGTGAATATATAAATTTTCCTGTGTTTTATTTATTATAATTTCTAGTAATATAACTATATTAGCAAGCCTCAGCAAGTTTCTCTCACTCTATTTTAAAAGAAAATTTATTAGATTTCATCATATGAGAAAAATAACTTGTTGAAACCGCTATATGTGCGTGAAATAATAAACAGTTGGGTGAAATTCGATTTAGTGATAGATACCTTAAATAGCTTGATAGATACCTGATTGTCTCTTACGAGCGGATGGTGCACACAAATATAAAAATATCACTGTGACTTTTAAGCCGTTAATCTTACCACTACATTTGCTATGAAATCACCAAAAACTTTTGACTGCCAAGATCTACTATGCAGTCAATCATTCAGTTTTACAACAAAAATGACACAGTTTTGTGTTTGACGAAAATGAAAACATGCTGAACAGACCAGAGTATTAAGAAAAACGAATCTTTATCCGTATATCGTTGGTGGAAGTTTTATTTTTTGTACAATGCCATATTTTTGTACCTTTTACATAAATAATCTTCCCTAAATTAAAAATATTACTGTTCATTAATTGCTCTAGATCTAAAATTAGTTACCTGGGTTATACTTTTGCTTCCAACATGTCACGTCCGGGTGGTTTACCTACACATGCTTAATCTTATCAGTTTAACTAATACTAGTGGCACGTGACAAAAATTGCACTTAAATCCAATCTATAAGCACATGCTTGTGATAAAACCAAAAAAAGATAAAGACTTCACACTGTCAAGATTAATATATCAATAATACTTTTTACCTAAACACAAATTATAGATGCACCCTGATGAGCAATCTTAACATCTTCATCTAAGTTCATTCAATATGAAAAATTCATATTTTACTTGAGATGTTATGTCAAGGAGTTAGTTCATAGCAAACATATATACACTATCAAATGTATTGAATTGAGATGAACGTGAAGATGTGGAATACCGCCGTTTAAAGAAGTCTCCAGTATGCGACAACACAGTACACTATCCCAAACATTATTTAACATTTGAAAATCAAAAATCTTCACAAGGGCTCACCGATTCCTTCCATGATCCATGAACCTATTGCAATTTTGGGGTTTATATAATGTAATCTAATAATTCGTAAATTTAAAATTAATAATAAAACACCTCTTAATGTCCCTTTGTTTAATTGATATTGTGCAGTTATTCATGTTGTTATTTGAATTTTCTTTATCATTGTAATATTTTATGGAGAATTATATAATAAAAACTAAGATATGCCAAGTCCACCAATCCGCAGTGGGGTCGTGTGGTGGACTATGCCGTAAGACCCTCTGTGTAGAGGAGGCCTTTGTCCAACAGTGGGACATATATTGGCTGTTACTTTACTTTTTCTTACTTTTTATATAATAAAATATTACGTGTATTATTCTTTTAGGTAAGTTTGCCCATGGAAACTTTCTCCAATTTTCATCCTTTGCGAGTGTCGACCTTTTTATTATTGTACAGTGAAATTGAACTTGTTTATTTGTATTTATTTATTTGTATTTTATAAGTTTTAATTAATGTCGATTCTTTTTTAATATTATTAATTTAATTTTAATTTATTTTTCTGTTTGAATTTTTGCTTGTAATTCTTTAATTTTTATTTTCTTTTTCATATTTTTACTGAAGTTATTTGCTCTTAAATATTTTTGCATTATTGTCTCGATTATTCTTGTATTTAGCTGAAACAATGCTGTGTCACCTAATAAGGTACATACATCAGAATTTTTTTTTTTTTTTGTAATCTTATTGTTTAAAACGTGAAATGCATGAACTGCTGGTGTCCTTTAAAATAAATAAATAAATAAACTTGTCTTAAAATAATTTGCAGTAAGTAACTGACTATTCTTTTAGTAAAATGCAGACTAATAATAAAGGATGATACTACAAAAATCTGTGAGTCAAATCTAACACAGTTTACTTACGCAATTATATCGTAATTTATGACTAAAATACATCTATATTAGGAATATTACATTAGAGATGAAAATGTTTTTAAAGTCGAATCGAATAATTTTAATCGTAAATCATTGAAAAAATTCAATTACTTGGTAATTGAAAAGCCTCCAAATGTTTATCCGATAAGTTGATAAAATTCTTTACAAGCAAGTAGCTGAATTATGTGACAGTAATTTATTGATTGGTTGATTGAGTGTCGTCTTATCACTATATGAAAAAGATCATTTCTTTATGGAAAAAAGGGGCAAACGAGCAGGAGGCACCTGATGGTAGGTGATCACCGCTGCCCATGGACACCTGCAACACCAGAAGGCTTACAAATGCGTTGCCGGCCTTTTAAGAAAGAGTATGCTCTCTTCTTGAAGGTTCCCAGTTCGCAACGGCTCGGAAAGACCGTAGCAGATACATAGGGAGCTCCTGAAAATTAACTTTTATAACTTAATTTCCATTATAAACTGAATGAATTGAAGTCGGTTTTTGGTTTTTTGTTAATATAAATAGTTGCTTTTAGTATCCGACAACTTAATTTGACAGTTGATTTCGGTAAATTAAAAATAGAGAAATGTATTTGAAGGTCAAATAAAGAAGGGAGCGGGTAACTTAAAATAATGTCAAAAGCCTTTTTTCAAACCAAGTTCTTGTATTTCCTTCAATAAAGGATGCGATTTTTTATTATGATATGCCGGCTATCTTGTCTTTCTTCCGATTTCTCACATCAAGTGTTCTTTTTATCACATTGATCTAGATATCTGAGAATGGGATATTGAAAACAACAATTGAATTGGAAAATTCCAATTCTCCAAGTTTTTTATGATTTAATGGTATTAAAATAAAATATACATTTCGTCAGATTTCATAAGATTCACAACCTAGCAATAAGTTATTAACTAGGGACTATCTTAAATTATATACTTTTTTTTTATTACGTCCTAGGCTTAACGGCGCGACCGGTGACAAGAGAGCTGGTTCTTTTCTCGCTCAAAGGTTAAGCATAACTGTTGAGGGGATTATAAAATAAAGTAGTTGTCATCCTACAAGGCGTTTCAATAACACAACATGGTGACAGCGGTGTGAAATAAATTCATATTTCGCGAATTTATTAAAGTATCGGTAATAGTAGTTGATAAAAGTGGATCAGGGATAACATTTGTAATGGAGCATGCAAGACCACCGCCGGAATTGTGCATGGATGGCAGCCCCGTCAGCCGGGCTGACGCTTGGAAGAGGTGGAAGCTACAATTTCAGTTATTTTTAAAGGCCTCGGGTGTACATAAAGAAGAGGCGTCAATACAAGCTAGCTTTAATCAACTTAATAGGCCCAGATGGATTTGATGTATTTCAAACATTCACGTTTGAAAAAGAGACATATCGTGATGACGTTGCGGTGTTGTTAAAAAAATTTGATAACTATTTTGGAGTGAAGCCGAATATCACATTAGCAAGGTACAATTTTTTTATGAGAAATCAAATTGAAGGGGAGTCCATAAATCAATACGTCACTGCGTTAAAACTGTTATCAAAAACTTGTATGTTTTCAACTTTAGAAGAAGAATTAATAAGAGATAGAATCGTGTGTGGCATAAGAAACAGCATCGTTCGAGATCGCTTATTGCGAACGGATGAATTGAGTTTAGAAAAGGCGATAAAAATTTGCCAAGCGGATGAAATTTCAACTGATAGTAGCCGTCAGTTAGAATTGCATGCTGTCGACTCGGAGCAAGCATCCATAGATGGTATTAAAGCGCACAGTCGAGAACGTGCTGTCGAAAACAAGCGATGGAACGCGAGCGGCGGTTTCACGACTCAAAGCGGCAGCGTCGCAAGCGCAGGCGCCAGCTGCGCTCGAGGCGGTCAGCGTAGGGGTGGCAACGTCAAGCGTTTCGAACGTCGAGCGCCTTGTAAATACTGTGGCAAGTATTGTGTACGGGGGAAATGTGCTGCGGCCGGTGTAAAGTGTTACATATGCGGTGGCTATAATCATTTTTGCAGAATGTGCAGTAGTCGATCGAAAAAAATTTATGACATAGATGTTCGTACTGAAAAATTCAAATAGTGATAGTGAATCCTTTTTTATATCTACAGTTTTCGACTCATCTTATGTTAATAAATCAGATGATTGGTATGAGACATTAACAGGTGAATGCGGTGTTGAAAAATTTAAACTTGATACGGGAGCGGATATCAATGTTCTATCCTATAAGAGATTTTTGTTGTTAGGATATGATGTTAATATATTAGATGTTACGAGTAATGTTAAGCTACAATCTTACAGCGGCAATATTATTCCAATAAAAGGAATATGTTATTTAAAGTGGTGGTACAAAAATAAGTTATTTGTATTGAAGTTTGCCATAGCTAGTATTAACTGTCAGAGTGTTTTAGGTAGAAATGCGTGTGTTAAATTAGGTTTGATTAAGCGTATGCATGATATAAATTTGTTAAATTATAATACTTATTTTCTGGCATTGGCTGTCTTCCTGGAATATATAGTATTGTGGTTAACAAGTCTGTGAACCCTGTAGTAAGTGCGCCACGTAAAATTCCCTTTAGTTTGCGTGACAAGTTACTTGACGAACTGAATAGAATGATGGATCTCGGTGTGATTAGGAAAGTTAACCATCCAACTTCATGGGTAAATGCATTAGTGATTGTAGCTAAAAAAAATGGTGGCATTAGATTATGTCTCGATCCCCGGCCACTAAATTGTGCAATACAACGGGCGCACTTTCAATTGCCAACTGTTAATGAGTTAGCTACAAAGCTATACGGCGCACAATATTTTTCTGTTTTAGACGCCAATTCTGGTTTTTGGGCAATTAAGATAGACAAAAAAAGTGCGGATTTGTGTACTTTTAGTACTCCGTTTGGGCGATACCAATTTTTAAGATTACCGTATGGTTTAAATTGTGCGGCTGAAGTCTTTCATTCGACACTTAAACAATTGTTAGAAGATTTAGAGGGAGTAGATGTTTTTGATTTGTGTGGAGGAAGTAATTTATTTAGGACATGTTTTCAATAAACACGGTATGAAACCGGATGACTGTAAAGTAGAGGCTATAAAAAATATGCCTACGCCGAATAATAAAAAGGCGTTAGAGAGGTTTTTGGGTGCTACGAATTACTTATCAAAGTTTATTCCAAATTATTCAAATCATACAGTTCATCTTACTCAATTGCTTAAAAAAGAATCTTCGTGGTATTGGGATGATACTCACGATAGAGCATTGCAAAGATTAAAAGAACTAGTTAGCAGTGCCCCAGTGTTGGCACTATTTGACGTTACGCGGCCGGTTGTTGTCTCTGTAGATGCCAGCAGCGTCGCGCTTGGTGCCGTGCTCATGCAAGACGGTCGTCCGGTCGAATATGCTTCGCGAACGCTCACTGATACACAGACTAGGTATGCTCAAATAGAAAAAGAGCTGCTTGCTATTGTATATGCATGTGAAAAATTTCACCAATACATATTTGGAAAAAAATCTGTAGTTATAGAAACGGACCACAAACCATTAGAGAGTATTTTCAAAAAAGCTTTGGTTTCCAACCCAGTACGTTTGCAGCGAATGTTACTGCGCTTACAAGGTTATGATTTAATTATTAAGTATGTTCCAGGAAAGTTAATGTTTATTGCTGACACTTTATCACGTGCGCCCCTTCCCGAGTGCTATGAAAATGAATTAGATGATAAATTAATATATGAAGTAAATCTTATGATCGAACATATTCCCATGTCTGCTAATAAATATAATTTAGTGCGAAATGAAACTAAAAAAGATAAAGAATTGAGCCAACTTTGTGAATATATTTTAAAAGGATGGCCGGAGCGTAAAGTTGATGTATGTGATAACATTAAACCTTATTGGTCGTTGAGAGATGAATTAGTTGTTGTGGACGGTATTTTGTTTAAAAATAAATTGATATTGATTCCTTATTCTCTAAGGTTAAAAATGTTAAGTATAATTCATGATGGTCATTTTGGAATAGAACGTTGTAAGCGACGTGCCCGTGAGGTTTTATTCTGGCCTGGAATTACTAAAGATATTGAGAATTACATTAAGAGATGTAGGGTATGTCAAGAAAACTCAAACGCTCAAAGTAGAGAACCTTTAATACCTATACAGATTCCGCGATTACCGTGGAATAAAGTGGGTACTGATATATTTGAATATAGAAAAAAATATTATTTAATTTTGGTCGATTATTACTCTGGATTCATAGAAGTCAGTGATTTGAAAAATATCTCTTCAATCTCGGTCATAACAGCATTAAAAGAGAATTTTGGTAGGTATGGTATTCCAGAAACTTTAATTAGTGATAACGGGACGCAGTTTTCTAGTGGTGATTTCAAAAAATTTGCTCTTGAATGGGGATTTAAACATGTCACGTCATCTCCTAATTTTCCTCAATCTAACGGAAAGAGTGAGCGAGCGGTACAAACAGTAAAAAAAAAATGTTAATTAAGTCTATTAATAGTAATACTGATTTTTACTTAAATTTACTAACTTATAGAAATACACCACGTGATAATAATTTGAGTTCTCCGGCACAATTGTTAATGGGGAGAAGACTAAACTGTAGATTACCAATTCATCCTAAATTATTAAAACCGAAGACAGTTAGTACAAGTGAATATGAATATTTAGAAAATAAACAGTTAAAAAGTAAAATGTATTATGATAAACATTGTAAAAAGTTACCGGAATTAGATTTAGGAGATAATGTATTAATTCAACATAATAGCCATCAAAGTAGGGGTCGAGTTATATCCAAAGCGTCAACACCACGTTCTTACGTAGTTCAAAATGAAGTAGGCAGGACTTACCGCCGTAATCGCCGGCATTTAAAAAAATCTCAAAGCGAAATTAAACATGATATAGAACCTTGTGTTCTTCAGGATCCTATTTCAAATGCCCTCAATAATTCTAACAACTGTTATTCAAATAAGAAAGGTCGAGAAAAGAATGATAAACCTATTTCTCCTCCCTTGACCAGAAAAAGAGCAAAATTAATGCAAAAATAATATTAATTGTACTTTATTTCATTTTTTTTTTGTTTCATCATTTTTATGTTGTATTTTTTTATCTTATTTTCAGGGAAAGGGTGTATCTGTAATAGATTATAAGTTATTTTGTTTTTTGAATTTTGTTATTGTCACTTACTTTTTGTTTTTATGGGGAAGATGTTGAGGGTATTGTAAAATAAAGTAGTTGTCATCCTACAAGGCGTTTCAATAACACAACAATAACTATTCAGCGAGGAAATGCAGCTAGCGTTCTTCACACCATGCTTAGGTTTATTAGATAATATGTAATTTTAGATAGTTTTAATCATATATCATGTAAATATTAGATAATTCTTCCGCTTCATATGGGAAGACTGTTTACCAATAAGGATATGCTCCTCCCTAACACTACTGGACTTGCGACTAGATCAAACTAATAACGTTCAGAATAAACGTTCAAATTTCAGTGAAATGACTCTTGCTCTGCACTGGTAAGTCCCTTGGCAGCTGCTCTCGACTAATATCGGACAACCCTTACCCTTCATGAACGAAAAACTCTATGGCCAGCAAAGACGAAGTCGTGTTGGGTGATGTAACAGTATAATGTGAAAAAGAAATAGTATATATATACAACCGATCCAGTCATGAATGCGGTCAGTATAGATAACACGGCACGTGCAGCGGGCGATGGCAGCACTGTTGTGCTGACCTGGATATTTGGAAACTTGATAGAGCCTAGTTTATTTTTTGCGGAAAAGAGGCAAGAGCCCGTTTGCCCCATTTTCCGGATGGAAAGAGAGTGCTCAACTGATGGAAAGGCTCTGACTGACCTGATCACCACCACTCATGAACATCTGCATAGTTAATGGTGACGTTTACTGAGCTCTAAAATTAAGTTGTGAATTTAGATCAAAAGTTCGTGTTATTTATGTTGACGTTGTTCGTGTTCTCTGTTCTCTTGCTGTACTCTATTTACCAACTTAATGAAAATCTTAATACCCTCAACGTGCACTTTTGCGTTCTGCGTACGCGAACATATTCATTGCTCCAGTCGAATGATCAAGAGAAAGTGTCAATTTTAGTGTGAAATAAATACATCTAGCTCGATGCAAAATTTCTCTACAGTTCGAACTCGGCTTCTAAAAAGACGCAAAGAGAGCGTTCTCAACGCCTTAAGCTAGATTACTGATAGATACTTTAAGATGCCAAATGAGCACATGGTCCACCTAAGTTAAGTGAATGGACCACCACCAATGGACATCTACAGCTCCTGCGGGTGGTTACAATTATTTAAAGAACTGGGCCTTGCTTGCACGTGTACTAGATGATACGCGAAACAATAGCTCGCAGTGGCACTTCCTCGGACGAGCCCGTCTTTCACGTCAGAGCAGAACCTGCTGCTTGAACCTTGACTGAGTCCATCAGTTTATCTAAATATAAGTAAGCTTGGGTGTTTTTTATACTAAAATGTGTCTAAACAGTATGTACAAATTTAAAACGGTTTCAGTTGAGTATATACAGATGGATTTAGGTACAGGTTAAAATGGGCAAAAATATAAGATGGACCCAAAAAAAAAAACTCCTTTGAAAATAATTATATTCTCAGTTATTTGCTTCCGAAAAAAAGGAATTCATACTTCAAATGTCGTAATCTCGAGTTTTTAAACGCTTTAGCTTCGTGGACCATTACGTGGTATTATTTCAGGAAGTTACCCCTATAAATAATGTTAATGTGTAAAGTTTCACAATTTGAATATTTTTTTTATTTTCATAAATTTGTTTTAAGCCTCCTAATAGGAGTGATTTAGTCTCGCTGAGCTTTTTCATAAATTTACTACAAAGTTACGTTTCTTTTAATATTGACCGATGATACTGATTTTATTTCACAAGTTTTTTTTTCCCTTTTCCAAAGAGAGACTTTTAATATTTCTTCGTTAGTTTTCTTCATAATTAGGCTCTGGAGAAAAAAGAAAACAGTAAGAAAGATATACACCACCGACTTCAAAAAAGGTGGTGGTTCTCAATTGAAAAAAAAAAATAGAGTCAAATTCGAATTCGACTGTATTTTTTGTGTTTTGTTACCCCAGAACTTTGTACTGAATGAACCAATTTCGTTGATTCCTTTTGTTAGTTTGAAAGCTGGTGCTTCCCACGTGGTCCCATGTTAATTTCATCGGTATTGGATATTGGGCTCCGGAGATAGTTTTTTTTTTTTTTTTTTTTTTTTTAAAGTGCGAAAGCCTACACATGTCGCACTGCTGGGAAAAGGCCTCCTCTATACCTGAGGGTATCAGGGAATACCGCCACCCGCGGCCCCACTGCGGATTGGCGGACTTCACATATCTTCGAAAATTTTTTTTGGCTCCGTTATTATTTCGAAAAACTATGCGAGGTTTTCACGATGTTTTCCACTTTACCGCGGAGCACGTGATAAGTCAGCACTTAAAGTTAAAAACTTCATTGGTGCCGGCACCGGGGATCGAACTCAGGTTGCCCGAGTATATTGAATTAAAGGCGAATGCCCGGACACTGAGCTATCACGGTAAAAAGGAAACTCCTGAAAATCAATTGTAAAATTAATGCGGAGCGAGATATTTCAAGTCGGTTTCGTTAATCGTTAATAAAAAAATAGACTTGTAGCTAGTCTTAATACACTGCGATTTCTCACCTCCAGGAAATGCACCAGTGGGATTATTGAAGTGGATAGACATGATTGGCATATGAATCGTATTGCATACTGCTTTATTTCAATTTTGCTTTATACCTTTAGGCATCATTTCAAACTGCGAATCTTTGAGTCATTTGTGTAGTTTTCAATAATTTCCTTATATGTTTTTGTGTGAAAGAGATTTTTTAGCAGTGGTCATGTGTAAATGATGATGAAGTTTTTTTTGTGTTTGAGCGTCTGTAACACCTCAGACGCTCATGTGCAGTCTAAATTCCTTAACATCAGGTGAACCGCCCGTTCACTTTTTTTCACATAAAAATTCGAAACGTTAATAAATTCACACTGCCCCTCACTCCTTTTGATATAAAAAAAGCAACTTTGACAAAAATTCCTTGCCGCGGTAATTACCAGAGGTGTTCTATTTATTTTCCTTTACAGGTTAACATTTAAATTATTTTAATGATAATTAAAAAATTGTCTGAGCTATTTTATTTACAAATTCTTATAAAAAGAATTAAATATGAATTAATTAGTTACGTTTTTAGTGAGAATTAATTACGCTGATCCACTACGTTTAAGGCATAAGTATCAAGGTAGTTATCATAAAGAGACTAGTTTTATACGGTTGAAAAGAAAATGTGCAAATTTTCGGGAAGTTGATGGATGCAGGTGGCTTAAAATACTCCGTGACAGTCTATAGAGGAGGCCTATGTTTTGCAGTGGACTCAAACAGGCTGAAACGATGACTATGAAAAGAAAATTGAGACGAGCTTAATAAGCATTATTATTAGTAAATGGTACAAGTTAAAAATGAGACAATATTTTAATGAACTGTACGATTTGCACAAGCAAAACAAGACTAATCTTTGTCCTCAATACATTGCTCTACATATACGGAAAAATTTTATCGGCTTAGATTGCTTTGACAATTTTTAGGAACGAAGTCCCTTATCTCACGTAAGGAGCACACTGTCGCATGAGAGTTAGATGTAAAAAGTGTACGAGTAACATGCTTAATGTTTTTTTTTTTTTTTTGGAAAATTTTTTGCTATAAAGTCTATATATTTGCTCAAGCGGAAGTCTATGTATAGGACTTTTATACAGGTTATTTTATATACAGGTTGGGATGCCATTATTTGTAAGGTCCGGTGAGTGAGGTAGCCGGGGCCCATTTTTTAAAGGATTGGTAAAGATATCTAGAAACCCCCGGGTGTTGCAGATGTCCATGGGCGGTGAATTCTTAACATCAGATGAACCGCCTGCTTGCTTGACAACATTACACATAAAAAAACTACCCATTCGCACAATACAGGAGACTTATTTGTAGCAACAAAAATATTTCGAAGATATGTGAAGTCTGCCACCTCGAACTCACAGAAGACCGGCGAGAAGTGTAAGTGTTATTCTTCTGCATTTTTCTGGTGAGTGAGGTAACCGGGGCCCACTTTCTTAAAAGGTGGCAACACATCTGCAACCCTACGGGTATTGCAAATGTCCTTGGGCGACTGTTATCACTTAAATTTAGGTAAACCGCCAGCTCTTTGCCATATTCTCAAATAAAAAAATGCGCCGAAACCTTTTAAACAGAGATTAAAGGTAATCTCAGCAGAATAAGCTCAGCAGTGGGGCACGAATGCAGCAATGGGTTACTTTACTTTTTGTCTTTATCGATCATGCTCATCATTTACTTCTGGTTACCTCATAGTGTTTTTGTCTTGTTGAGTCGGTCCATTCAGCCCTTTCTGCAATCACAGGCATCCCAAAAAGAAAGAATTTTTTTTTTGAAAAATACAATGAAAAAATATCTTGCTTCATAAATATTCAATGGCAAGAAACAAAACAGCATTTGTAAACAATAACTTTTAACTTTATACTAACCTTCAACTTACTTCAAGGGTAAGAAGTCGTATGCGTGGTTCTCCAATAGATATTAAAATGAAGGCGAATAATCCTCATCATCATTAATCAAACTTATAAAGCATTCTATGTCAATCAGCAAATATAATTGTGTTATACACTTATGTCACAAGTAATAACATGAACGAAGACTGGAATAATAGTTGAACTATTATTTTATAAACAATTTGCACGTATGTCAATTCATAGTTAGATTAATTTTAGTGTTTAAAAAAATGTACAAAGTAATAGAAAAGATGTCATGTATATAAGTAACATATATATATATATATATATATATATATATATATATATATATATAAGCAACACCTAAGCTGCTGCGCCGTTTCTTTTTTAAAATTGGAATTCATATAAACTTTATTTAGTTCATACTTTTATAACCGAATTCTGATACATTGCTATGCAATCTTTTACAGATGCTTAATCGAACCATTGTCTAAAGAAATGTTATTAGGTATAAATAGTTATAAAGAATTTTCTTATTAATTTCGGAAATCGGTTATGCTTTAAACTGTGTGCTAACTATTTTGGGATAGTACTTGTGCGAAATTTCCATATCCATACTAATATAATTAAAAAAAATTATAAATGCGAAAGAAACTTGTTTGTCTGTCTCGCTTTCACGCCAAAACTGTTTAACCGATTTAAATGAAATTTGATACACAGATAGTCTAAGGCCTGAGAAAGGACAACAAAATTCTTTTTTTATTTGAACAAAATTCTTTTTTTATTTAAACATTAACTTGTTATTCTTGTATATTTTTTGTTGATAGCGGCAAACATAATATTTAAAATGGTGACTGAATCATTAAATTTAATGAAGAATTCTGGAAGTCATGGTGTTCCGATAACAAAAAGGCAAAAATGCCTCCGAGAGAGCATTTTTGCATTTTTTTACAAAGAGAGTATAAATATACAACACAATAAAAAAGAGGTTCGACTTAATTGACACATACTCTGGGCAAAAGCAAGATGACAATAAAAAAAATAAAAATTCAATTATATAATAATAATTTATCCCTGCATCTATAAAAAGCATTTCAACCTTAAGCTTTTCGTTAGCGTTAATATACAAAGATAGTATCGTTCTCCCTACATGTGTCACTAAGATCCAATTTCAAAATTGAATTTTGTTGACGACATTCAGAAATTTCTCATGCAAATGGTCCGAAAGCTTACCCTCGTGAGATTGCGCTCACATTTTTGAATCATTAATAAGCAGGACTATCGACGGAGCGAATAAATTTTCGATTCGCGTAAATATTATAGAAGAACCCT